AAGAGCGTTCGTAATCATTGGGACTTTAAAAGGATGCACATCACACTCAGCTGTGGGATCATATATCGTGATAGGAGACGTACGTGGTATCGCTCTGAGTAGCTCTCTCCCTCTGTGGAGTCCCATCCCTCCAGGAGCTCGTCGTAGGCCTGAACCAACCAGCACGTCACTTCCTGTGCCTTGCGATCAGGTGTCGCCTGGAAACGCAGAACAATGAAAACAGTTGATAACTGGAGGTTTTAATAATGCCAGGATCCAGTTAGATGCATGTTTAGTCAAAGGAATAGATGTTTTTAGTTTGACATCATCGTCAGTGACAATTAACGAGACTTCTTAATGAGACGTCGCTGATCCGTTTGTTTTTTGAAACCACAGGTAACTTTCTTCTACCAGTTTCAGGTACTTCTGTTTTGGCTTCACACTGGAAGAACAGGTGAGCGCAAATAAAACCAAACGATGGCCGCTGTGAAAAAAATCAGTTCGACTCTGTCCAGAGCTAAAGCTCTTTATCTGGAGCTGAGATGATTTGATCAAATCTAGTTATAGACACAAAATGCAATAAAAATAATTAAGCAAAAATGATTTTCCACCAGGCACCGACTCCAGTCATGAGATACGTCCCAGAAAACACCCTGTTTGTGCCGAGCAAACAAAGTTGTTTTTCACTCATGTGCAGCCGCCAACTTTATTCTGCACCTTCTCTCTGTAAATCCAGATGTTTGAGGTTATGTCGACTACGTGCACATAAACAAATTCACTGAGTGAAGACGCATGAAAGACATTTCCTGATGTGCCTGATATTTTTATGTGCCGTCCACGTTGCAAACCACGTTGCTCAATCACTGCAGGACAAACAGTGAGTGTGGATGAAAATGTCTCCTGCAGCTACATAAGAACATCCTGATATCTTGTCAGAAACCCGAGCCGACAGGTGTTTTGGTGTCTCAAGTCCTGCGACAGGCGGAACCTGCAGGAAATATAAATGTGCACTGCCGTCGCCTCATGAGAGCTTTATTCATGTCATGGGAGGCACACGAACACACCCTCACTGTGGGTTTGGATTTCTTCCCAGACAACAGGGCAAACTAGTTCAATTGTGCATGATGGGTCCTGCTCTAATCACCATGTGATCTGACAGTAATCTTCGCTTTCAGCGGGCGGAGCTTTTTTTTTTTTATTGAAGCAGCTGCTCTGCCGTCGCATTAGACAACTTTCCTGGCGCTTCTTCAAGGAAGTTGATCGTCACAAATTAAATCTTAAGTTGTTTGTGGGTGCAACGGAGTATCGTCACGGCTGATTTGCACCGTGTGACGCAGCTGGTTTCAAAACGAGCAGGCAACACGGTTCCCGAGCAAATCACGAAGCAGTGACAGGGGGGTGTGGACCCGACAGAGAGCAGGCTGGGAAAAACATGTTGAGAAACAGATGGAGTCTGACTTTTGAATCTCTCTAGATTGTAAACTTTGAACATGACTTTTTATTTGTTAGTTTATTAATTTCCTCTCTTTTTTAAAATAGTTTCAGGTGAAGATGGAAATGTCATTGTCTCCAAAAATATTTATGACTTCACAGTAAATTCTATGCTGATAACAATTATGATTTAATATATAACGTGACACCGGGTCTCAGGATGTGAGTAGATGGGTGAAACTTGAAGAGATGAAGCGCTACCTGTCGCAGAGGAGACGCAGAAATAGCAGGAGTGTAGTGAACAGGCAGGTTGATGGGAGAAGGAACTTTCGGAGGAGTATTCAGATATTGTGTCTGAGAGGGGAAAAAAGACAAGGAAGAGAAACGAGAAGAAACAAGAAAATAAATCCCAAGTGACTGAGGAGAGAGAGAGAGAGAAGGGATAAAGGTCAGGTGATAACTGAAGTGAAGCAAACAGAGAAACACAGAACTTCTGAATATGAGGTGTGTAACTGCTTTCATTACGTGCGACTGATCTATCGGGGCAGATAACAGCTACAGATCTGTTCCTGAGTAAATTCTGGAGAAGTTGCAAAACAGAAACAAAAGTGTGAATGATAGAAAAAGTGCACCGGGGGGGGGGGGGTTGCCAGAGGAGCATCACAGACGCTGCTGTGGAGTCTGTTAGAAAAACACTCATCCAACTGTTCTGCAGAGAAAAAAACAGCCTGCAACTAGTTCACATCTTCACAACAAGTCTTTGATAAACAGACTGAAAGGATTCCTGCTCGTCACGCGTGTGATGATGGACACAACACGCTTATCGAGAGAGAAACCACTCAGCCATGACAGGCACCCAAGTGTCCAAGAGTTCAACTTGTTCGCATAAAACCGGGTTTAATTATAACGACTTCTCAGAGAAAGAAAGTTTGAGATGTGAGGAATGTGATAAATTTAAACCTCGATGTGTCGACCTGCAAAACAACGAGTCATTGTTCCCTGAGAAGAACTGAAGCCCTTCTTTATTGTGGTTAAACAGCTGGAAAACTAGACACACTACAACCGCTTGTCTCTGAAAGGAAACTTTTCTTAAAATTAAACCGTTGAGCAACTTAATGTTTGTTGTAGGAAATGAAACACCGACCTGCATCTCCTCCTCGGGCACCGGCAGGTCTCTGGAGTACTGCAGGAACTGGGCCACGTAGGTCATGATGGACTTCTCATCTGGGTCTCGAACGTCCACATCTGCATCCACATCAAAGTCTTCCATGATCAGCCTCACACTAACATGCTCCTGTCAGAGCTGCAGACTAATGCACGAGCACGCTCCTGAAGCTGCAGAACTGGAATCTGAGGAATGGAGGTGTAACTCCTCCGTCTTTAAAGGGACGATTAAAGTCTGCTAACGAATTAACAAGCAGAGCGAAGTGGAACAAGCGAGGGTTTTATATGAGACTGAGGCAACCACACAGCGAGGGAGTCAGCAGACTGTCAGATCGTCATCTCACTTGCCCTCGAGCTGGCTGGGTTCGGCTCAGGCACATCTCTCAGCCACGCTCAGCACAAAAGATTCACAAGGCACCGCATCAATTAATGCAAGAATGCCACCGAGAGATGTTTTCGGAAAAAGAAAAGTAGGTGCAACTGTAGAAAACAGATTGTGAGGGAGGCCTGCGTTACAAAAAGAGATTTCAAAACTCTGAGGAATCGTTCAAATGTTTCTGCATCAACATGATAAATTACTGAGCAGGAGAAAAAAAAAATCAGTTTTGACATTTGTGCAAATTCACGATTATTAGAAAACCACCAAAGAAAATATTTTCACATCATGTTAATTTGTCAGAGAAGAGTTTGGTTCACACAGATTTCTTAAAAATCACACTGCTGATTTCAACGTGCCCGTGGGGTCCTGCAATTTCTGGGTTATTACTCATGACGCAAATTAAACCACAGGCCTGATCATCCTGTGAGGACTGGACCGAAACAAATATCCTCGTTATGGACACAGAAACTGAAATATGTGTAAGTGTAATATTAATAAAACGCACAGTTTGTATTTAGTTTTAAAAAGAATAATAATTGTGTGATGTACACGTGCTATTGTGAAATAAAAGACATGTTTTATTATATCAGCGAAGTAACGAGATTTCAGCCGTGTCACAGTTGCGTCATTCTGTAATTGGATTCAGGGTTTTGTGGACAAAAATTAATTTTTGAGATAAAAGACATTTGCCTCTTTTTTTCCACTGCACATGTTTTCCCTCAGTGTTGGAGGAACGACCAGAGAGGATATGTGCGAATCGAGATGGAGCTAAAAATATCGAGCGTCACGAACCTCAACATCGATGTTGGGAAGTCTTGTGTGAATCCCTTTCTCTGAGTACCGTGTTTTTAATGATTCCACTTCTCCGCAGTGTGATTTGTTACTGAACACAAAAATGTGTGCGAGTGGGAACAAGTACTAACTCATTACATTACCAAACATACACAGTTATTAGTTTCAAGCCAAGAGTGAAACTCCTCCATTATTATAACGTGGACCTGGTGCATTTGTTTGTGTCCACCTTTAACAGCCTGTCATCACACCTACACATCTGGGTCAACACCCCCACACGGGTGGTACGGTCCAGTCAGAAAACTTTTGAGCCTCCAGTGGTTTGAGTTGGGTCACAGCGAGAATCTCTCGCACGACCTTCACTCTACTACATATTGTACACGAGGAACCGACGAGGAGAAGTATTTGCACCGTGAGAAAACTGTAGTGGAATAAATATTCATGTACGAGATCAGATCATCCAACATTAAAACTGTTCACTGACACCGAAGGGAAACTTTTAGCTCCTGCGTCGTCGGTCACATGGTTGTTTTTGAACTGATTCCTTATAAATAGAGTTCGATGACTCACCATCAGGCTCCAGCAGTCTGGGGATCCTCAGCTCTCTCTCTGCGACGCGGAACGCCTCCTCCAGGTTCTGCCTGTTGCTTCGGGTTCTGGCCTTGGACAGGTCCACCAGGTCGGGCCGCAGAGCGTAGAGGACGGCCAGGAACACCACCCCGCTCCTCCAGCTCGATTTAAAGTCCTTCACGCTGACCGAGCAGCCGGCTCTGAGGGAAACAAAGCTGGTTTCATTTCCACACTTTGGCTCCAAGTTGTTTATTCACAGCCTGCGATTTAAATCGTTTCCCCTTTGGAGCTGCACGACTTCTCACCTGTGACACTGTTCCCGGACCCAGAGCAGCAGGGCTTTCTTGGCGGAGACCCGGAAGCGGGCGTGCAGCGGTGACGCTCGGGGGGGAACAGGGCTGCTGCTGGCCGAGCGGCTCGACAGCGTGGAGCGCGAGTCCAGACTGGCCAAAGACTCCATGGACGCCTGACGCGAGTCGAAGGAAAGGCAGCTGGCCAACTCCTCGATCTGAGAACACCCCCACCGCATGGAGACACGACCAGGAGGACGAAAAAGGAGAAACACACTCGTTTGTACACGTCAGCAACATGTGGGACATTCGATGTCCTGTGTAGTGGTGAAGAGGGAAACTGAAAACTACTAAGCTCACGTGATACTGTAGAATGATTGTCCATATTAGGCCCAGGATGATGGACGGTCTTCCATCGATGATGTCAGGAATGTTTATGTTGACTAGTTTGATCTGGGGAGAAAACAGGAAATATTTCACACGAACAAAGTCTCTGTGGAAACATCACAAAAAAAAAAGAAACAGAATCAGAAAGTAGATTCTGTGATTTACAGATTTCTTCTTCAGGAAGGAGAGGGCTTTCTCGATGTTGCTCCTGTGCTGAAACATTCCTCTTCCTCTCTCCCGACTCTGCAAAACACAACCAGAGAGTGAGTCCAGGGTTCGGCCGCTGGCGGGAAATCACGATGGCGGCCGAGCAGAGGCTGGACTCACGATGCGCTGGCCGCTCATCACCTCCAGCAGGTCCAGCAGTTTGGAGCCGTCGCGGAAGTCGTTGAACAGATCCAGGATCATACATGGTGGCCTCCGCTGTCACACACACACACACACACACACACACACACACAAAGAGGCGACTTGTTAGTTTCTGAGAATCTGACATTTTGTGGAAAAATCTCCAGAAAATGAGGATTGCAGTTGTTTTACTACGTTCGTCTGAAAGGTTGTAAAATCTGTTTTGATGTTGCAGGAGCATTTTTTGCGGCTTCAGGAAGCATCGATGAATGACGTGATTATTCAAACTAAACATTAATAATGAATGACTTCACCTCAGTATTAAAACCCCTGTTCTAATCAGGAAGCTGCTGCACAAACTCGAACTGAGCAGAAATGTAAAGAAAGAATTCAGAAGAAGAATAAAATAAACATTGTTGAGTTCAGGCAAAACGCTGCATTCTAAATTTCAGCTCATTAAAACTTGTTGAACTGGATCTAGAGCGAAAGAAAACACAAGTGACACCAAATCACTCTAATGTGAACAACCACAAAAAGATGATTCAGGTTACTGAGCGAACACTGAGCCCAGAGCTGGACGACTGTGGGAGGGTGGGGGAGACGTGGGGGAGGGCGGTGTCCGTCTGTTGCTGTCTGTCTGTCTGTGAACCTTGCTCTGCTCTGCTCTGCTTTATTTATGTCCCCAGCTCCGCCTCCTCCAGAGCCCTGACCTCCAGCGTGGGGACGACAGGGCTCTGCAGCTGACTCACGTCGGGTCCGAGGACGACGATGCTGCTTTTGCCAAATTCTGTCCACGTGGTTTCTATTTCAAACACTCACGGTGACTAAAGGTTTTACAGAGAATCGTTCTTATCTCTGTTGCTCCACAGTCTTTGAGAGGAATTCTACACTGTCACATAAATTCACAACAAGACGCGTCTCAACAAGGTGGACGGCGTTCAGGATTTGATGCTTTTACGTTTACTAGTGTTTGTCTTTATGATTTATCCTCAGCGTGAATCATTTCCACTGCTGAGGTAAATGAGCCGAGTTATTATTCCTGTAAGTAGAAAAACAAGGAATCAGCTGTAAAGGCCTGATGTTCACTTTTATTTAACCTCAACAACCTTTTGCAGTGATGCAGGAGTTCAGGAGAGGAGGCTGGTTGTTCCCGTTCTTATTTCTCCTTTTGTTTGTTCCTTTTTTGTTTTGTTTAGTTTTTGTGTAAATGTGTTATTTTATATTTTATATCTTCAACTTTTGATTAAACCGAAACAAAGATTTTCTGCAATTTGTTGTCAGAAAAATCTCAATTCCTATTATATAGCATTTTGTAAGTATAATTTACATTCTTGGAATACAAACTGCTTTTCTTAAAAAATAAAACTCACTGGGTTACAGTCGGGGGTCACATGAGGTAAGAACTCATTACTGAAGCATTTTATACATTGAGGGAATCTGGGTGTGGGTGAAGCTGCTGAAGCATCACATCCTGTCCGCACACGCTGCCGCTCACCTGTGTTTGTTATGAAGCTGCAGCTCAGCTCAGGGAAACTCTCGTGGGTAAGTTATTACTCAGCGCTGGAATGAAATTAACTTAATTTCTTCCTGAGGGGAAACCGGGTCATTTCAGCAGAGATGGAGAGAATACGAAACTAACTGTGTTCTGTGATATGAAGCTGAATGAAGCATGAATATAAAGTTGTCTACGCCCAAAAGAGTAAATATAATAAAGCCTCAAAGGTAGAATGTGTACAGAAAGATGAAGTCAAATCATCTGGATCGCCCCCTGGTGGTAAGCTGCAGTGTAGGTCATCCACCGACGTATCCTCCATGTTCACAGCTGGGACATGGGCCAATTAAGTGGTCAGATTCCACCCCCAATCTTGGTTTGTGTCATTTGAGGTATCACACTGATGTTCAAGTGTTCGTGTTTCTGATCACTTTGGTTTTAATTCATTATTTGATGATATAAAAATGGGCTGAACCATCTCGATTGACAGCTGGAATTGATGTAAGCGTGGATAGGCGGGGCATAAATAACGTCAAAGGGCAAGATGGTCTAATCCCAGAGGTCAGAGGTCAGAGGTCAGGGACGCCGCTCACCTTTGCCAGCTGAGCGTTGACCCAGTTAGTGAACGTCCTCTTCTGAATCTGTTCTTGTTCCACTGTTGAAGAAGAGGAGGAGGAGACACAGGATGTCAGAATTACATTTGCAGATATGAGAAGATCTAAATCATGTCGCAGCCTCGCTCAGCTCGAGATAATTAAATCCGTGTTCCAGTCATTCTAAACCTCTGTTCTGTGCAATCTGTGCGAAACCATTCCACCGTTCTTCACATCCACTGCAAACGCTTTGGTCCCTCTGGAGGTAAAACATTCCTCCAGAGGGCGACATGACAAATTCAGCTTTCAGGTCGAAACCGTCACTGATCCGATCCCAGTTTGTTTCAGAGCCTCAACAGAAGGAAGTCAGAGTTTTCACCTGTTGTGAAATTTTCCATGCGTTAACACGTCAAATAACTTTGCCCTTTAAAGGCAGGTTGTTACTGAAGCTAACACCCGAGGGTTCGGCCAATCGGCTCCGGGTGGAATAATATCAAACAGTGAGTTGCCTGAACAAGCCTCCAGTTCAACAATGGAAGATAGAGCAGCAGCAGAAAGTAGAGCAGCTCAGTGTAAACAGAGCAGTGAGCATGGAATCTAAACCACATTTTACTACTTAAACACTTTTCATTAGTTTTCTGATGAAACAGATGCATGAAGTTATGAAGTACAAATATATGAGAAAGAGAGTTATCGTCAACATGCATCCAGACATATAAGTACACAGAACATAAATGTGTGGTACATATTAAGTACACAACATAGTACAAAAGGCTGAGTAGTTGTGAGTAATGGGTTGAGAAGTTTCTGTGTCGCCTTGTTAACTAACAGACAAACACAACCTCAACAATCACCACAGACGAGAGCTCTCGGCTGTAAAGACTGACAGACCGGACTCACCGCTGTAGAGCTCGATGAAGTCGTTCAGCTCAGTGACCGTGTGAAGAGTCTCACATATAATCCAGTCCTCGTTCTCCATCAGAAACTCAAGTCGACCGCTCACTGAACATCTGAGAGCTTTTTAAAGATTCATCTCGTATCACTGCTGTCAGATTAAAAACTGCATTGCTTATTTCAAGTTACTTCAGTTTTGTCTGAAATGGATTTTCATCCTTGTACAGTTTGAAAACTTCAGTGAGAAACTTGATTTCTGAAGCTGAGTTTTTATCTGACAACAACGATGGATCCTGCAGTTTCCCTCTTTACTGAATTAACTCCAGCAGCTGGAAACTATCGGTCCGTCCTCGTCCATGCTGAGCTCCGACTCCTGCATTTACAGACTATTTCTGCCCTAATATGTTTAACAGCAGGACACCTCTGACCTCAGTTCAGTTACAGTCTAATCTTAATCAGCCGCCGCAGTAAAATATAAATAATCCATGAGTTCTTTCAACACGTGAACAGAAACACTGGCGAAGAAAAACGACGAGAAACCAGAAGTTCATAAAAGTCCCTTCAGCTGCCAAGTCAATAAGATGAGGAAACACGAGAGCTGTGAAACACTTGAGGGTTTGCCAGGAGAATTATTATTAAACGAACTTGTTTGGTCACAGAGCGTCAAAGTCACAGAGCGTCAAAGTCAC